CAGTTATCGAGAAAAATTAATTTAAACAGTGAAAAATTCAGGTTAGGAAAACTCGTGAAAAACTCAATGGAAAATTCTGAAACTTATACGAATTATTAACATTTATATAAGAAATGAGTGTGCAAAATTTGAAAGTTTTTCATAAAGTCGTTGCTGAGAAAAATGAAAAACATTAAAAACTTGCATATATAACATGCGATTTTTCTACATAAAGTGACTGTATTACTTGCAAATTTTCCAAAACTTTTCTAGTCATCATATTGAAAATTTGATGAGCTTTCCAAAAATATATAACTTTAATAGGTTTCATGGAAAAATAAGGGATAAATTTGTAAAATATAAAAATTTCTAATTGTGTGTCCACTCACTTTAAAGAGTAATTTACGTAGTAGTTTAGCATTTAGATATTAATATATAAAATTGATATGAATAAAAAATCATTTTAAATTTCATTAAATAAATATGGAAAGTTTTTGTTTTTTCACCATTATTTTTTATTTTTCAAAATCCTAAAATCAATATATTTTTTTTTTTAAAAAAATCAGCATCACTTTGCGAAATAATGATTTATAACTTTAAAAAAACGGTAAAACTTCATTAACATTGTAAAATCTGGTTAAAGCTACACTGCAGTACCTGTTGACGTCTCAATCTCTTAATTCATCATTTATCACAGTCTTTATGAAGTCTCGCGAGACGTAAATATTATTATAAAAGTGCATAAAGTTGACATGAATGAAATTAGTATTAACAAATTTTCTATGCTGTACAGGTTTTATAATATTCGTATAAATCTTAAGAGTCTGTTTATTAGCATCAAAGTGCATGTAGGTACTGTTATTATTAATTCCTTAGTTTTGTTATGATTCACGAGTTATAAGGTAAATTTACTCTTTTTAAGTATCTATATATTTTGTTTAAACATTTTTCAAATTATAAATTGATTTGGAAGAAATCGAGTATTTAGTTGATTGATTAATTATATGGCAATTAAAATACAAAATTGTGCCAACTAATATTTTCTTCTCAAAAAACACATGCCAATTCTAGGTTTCATTTATTTATCTCACATCAAAACAAATGGTAATGAATATACGAAGATAAAACAATTGAAAAGTAAATTGCCGACTCAAATTTTTCCGCTGATTTTCCATTAAATTCATGTTAAGTTGCATAATCTTCAAACTTCAACTTGTAACGCACGGGAAACCTAGAAAAAAAAAAATGATTATTGTAACGAAACGAAATAAGAGCTTATATGTGAAGGTCGCGAGAATTTTTGTACATTTGCAAAACTTTTGTGACAACTTTATTATTATTTGAAAGATTTTATTGCCGCGCGTGTCTGATAAGATTAAAAAAATTCTTAAAGTTCTCAGACACTTGAATACTAAATTGTTAAAAAAACGATTGTTGTAGGAGTATGAAATAATATTTCATATTTTTGACAGGTGCTGAGCATACAAGTTTTATTTTGTATTCTTTAAAATTTATTATAATACTTGAGTTGAGTGAAGAAAAAAGCTTTAGTATTTTTGTGATTGGCAAGCAGTTAAAAGAAGAGAGAAGCAACACAATGAACATGAAATTTCTTCAATGGTCCAAGATGAGATGCTGTTGATCATGATGTTGACAGGATGAAAAGAAATTAAAATAATACAAAATTAAACTCATCTAGACATTTATAGCAGTGATCTGTACGCATTCATGTCAACTATTTATACATCATCGAAATAATAATTATTTTTTGAGAACAGATAGGTACTGAAAATATTAGGGATTCGGCAATTTCGAATATTTTAATTCTGTTTTAAACGCTGTGCTTTATAATTTGAATCACTAATTATAACAAGGAAATCTCTAATTTGCGTGGATGTACAATTTCGAATAAGTTTTTTTCAAAATGCTCATATAAAATTTAATAATAGAACTATAACAAAAAAGGAACAATTATTGAATTATACAGTTGCTATGAATTTATGGTCATGCTTACGATATTGATTAAGATGTCAAACTGTAACTAAAAAGATTTTCAGGTATTAAAAAAATTTACAATTTTTTAAAATCCGAAATTTCCTGCAAAAAATCATTTGACTTAGAAAATATCGTTATTAAATCTCATAATAACGTAAAAGCGTAACCTTGGCACAGAAAAATTGAATACATAGAGTCATAGATAAATGTAGAGAACATAAGGGGTTGACATAGTGATATATTCACTAGCAAGTAAGTCATAGTTTAATGCTTGTGAAACAATTGTAATATTATAATCACATTAAGATGTGAAAAGTGCTTACAATAGATTTTTATTGTTCGCATGCATGAAAAATTTATTTCAAATTTTCCGCGACCTTGACAAAAATAAATAAAGAGTTACAATAAGCAATACGAAATTATTAATGGGAACAGTTGTGCATTTAATACTGCAGAAAATTGTTTATTATATTCGTTCGTGAAATTAAATTGTAATTTTTTTTAAGATATTCTTTAAAAACATAAAAAGGTGACAAGATCTTTCCGAATAGGCTTCAACGGAAAATATTGAAGAAGAAAATACAAATTTTAATCTCTTTCTGAATAATTTCATTTAATTTCTTGCACTATATGTGGTAATTTCATTTCTATTTCAAACAAACAATTTTTTTTTGCCGTGTATTCGCCCCTTTTCTTGTCTTTTGTCTGCTTGTTAAGGAAGCAACAAAAAGAGAAGAAGTCCATAAATATTTCACAACGCATTTAATCCTTTCTTCGATGAAAAAAAAAAAATCTTCTCGTTTCAGAATCCTTTTTAGCACCTCCTGTTGTGCTTCTGCCTCTGTCATAAATATTATGAATACATTATGACTTTATCTTTACTTCATTTTTTGAAAAGATTCAGCAACTGGACATTCAACTACAAACCTTTTTCTTGTAAGATACATAAAGAATGGAAAGCCACAATTGTAATAATTTTTTGGAAGCACGAACGAAAAAGGAAAATAATGTAAAAGGAGAGAAGAAAATGTGTGTCAGGTAGGGTTCAAACAAAAAATGAAAAAGTGCAACAATAAAGGAGTTAAAAAGATTATGAATTTGGTCAGAGTAATAATAACTGTGGTAATTGGCTTTAACTTTAGATTCTACAATGAGACATTCAAACAGCATTTTTTTCTTGTATTCACGAAAGAACAAAAAGAAATAAATTTAGAGCAATAAATTTAAGGATCATTCCATAAGTTATACGATGGTCGAAATTTATTATTTTACCTTTCTCATAATCGAATTTTTTGGGTCACTTAGTTTTTATGACCTAAGGGTAAATGTGAATTAAATAGTTTTAATAGTAGTATATTTGTATATTCTTTGCTATGCACTGATTATTTCTATGGTAATATTTAATTCATTATTATTATGTATTGTACTCTGTCGAAAATTTGAAGTTATTTGACATTTCAAGTATATGCACATCCAGTTCAACTGCTATCGCGTCATGTTTTTATTACATTTTAATATATGAAGAATAAAGTTCTGATTTTTCTAAATTTTTTCGAATTCCTTTTCTTTAGAATAGAGGATAGGTCTTGTTAGACTTAAGAAAATAAAAAAACAATGAAAGGAGTTGTGCAGAAATGGCAAAGAAAATCCCAATCAAAACAAACAAAATATGGACAACAGGAGAAAGAAAAATAAAATTTAAATCCTTCCTCTTTGCTTGTTATTGTCATATTTTATTTAATTCTAGCACTCTGGCTCATGAAAATGCATAAAATTGAGCTGAATAATTGTTTATTTTGCCCAATATTTTTGTTATTTTACAATAGTCCATAAATAATAATATTTTTCAATGCATTAAATATTCGCAAAATGCATAAAAATTTTGGGCACAAACTTTATGTTTCTATTTTTTAAAATTTTTTTTACTGATTTGAAAAATATTAAAGGAACAATGATTTTTTAAAAATAGATGGAAGGGCATCGAAAGCAGTACACATAGTAAAAACAAAACTGAAAAAATTTAAAACACATTTGGTAGGAAATTTTAAGTTTTCTAGGTAAATTTTATAGTTTTAAATATCATAAAAATTAGGTTTGGGAAAAAATTCATGTTGACAAAAATATTACAGTGCTATATATCTTACGTAACTGTCCCATCTTCTGATTCCTTTCTTTCCTCTGATTTTTTCATCTCTATTCATTGCTGTATTGCTTTTAATGAACAAATTAAGTCGTAAAAAATTATAGAAAAGATTTTGAGCAAAGCAAAACAAAACGCCCAAAAAACTTAAATCTCTGTAATAAAAGGTTTTTTTTGCCTGTTCCTTATTAGGTAACTTAAGAATAATTTTTTATCGCCAGACCTTAAAAAATATGCCTTTAAAAATTACTGTCTCATGTCATATATCTCGTGATGCAATAAAATATTGCTGTAATAAAAAAATTGCATCAATTTGCGACAGCATGCACACACACAAACACATATAAAGACAAATTTCCAATATTGCACATGATCGCATTGGAAGTAAATAATAATAAGAAATTCAGGTAGGAGTTGACAGTGTTTGCAATGCTCCGATTCGTTGATCCATTTCCCCTTCTTTTCGTTCTCATTGTATGTGTATTTTGTATCTTAAGATTTACACTGGAAAGTCTCAAAGTATTAATTCTTTGCGTTTGAATGTTGTTGTGTCTTCTTGTTTTTCTTTCTTCTATCCACATTGTTGTGTGTTGCTTCTCTTTCAAACAGGTTTACTAATAATTTTGTGATATTTCCAATTCAGTTATTTTTTAGATTTTGATGTGCGCACAATCGATTTTTGTTTTGTCTAAGAAAATTTTTTTCTCTATTTTTGTTTTCACGGTTTGAGAAAAAGACAAGTTCTGAATGCTTCAGACAAATGTATCATTCACGTGCGTGATAGAGCAAAATAATAAAATATGATATAAGTGAAAATTCCTTAGAATGGTGTTAATTATAAATATATCAATTTAAAAATAAGAAAACTGTTTATGCAAAATTAATAAAAAAAAAACAGAAGAAAATAAATTAAAATAAAAAAAAATAAAAAATATAAAACATAGAAGTGCCGAAAAGTCAATAAATAAAAGATTACAAATTGAATAAACAATATATTTATATAAACAATAAGAAACATGATTGTGGATTTAGAAAATCAATTGAAAGCTTAACTTAAAAAAGCGTTTAAGTTTTTGTTATAATAACAGCAAAAAAAAGAAAGACAAGCAAAGGAGGATAAAAATTGCTTTTCTTTTTATTCAACATCAAATAGAGATAACTGATCAAAATTAAGGTATGTTCCATGAAGTAAGATTTAAATTTTCATTTTCTCGCTTATCCTGCATTTAAGTCTTTTGTTTTGTACAACTTCAAATTTCGTTATGAGCATTGTGACTTATGACTTCATAATTCATTAAAACTTATTTCATGATTGATTGATAGTTTTCAGAAATTTGCTCACAGACAAATTGAAAACGATTTTTATTTTAACAAAGAAGTACCTATGGAAACTACACATTTTAAGTTCGAAGAGAATTTTTTTAAAAAAATTAAAAAAGGTGGTAATTAGATTTATTTTTTTATATTCTTTGTAAATTTTATCAATTTGTGTCAATAGTGAATAGTAAATCCTTAAAATCATTTAATATGTCTGGAAAAAAATTATCGCAATTTTGAAACATACTAAAGTTTTTTATTTCAAGAAATATTTAAATTAATTGATATTCACTAATCTCTTGATTTTTTAACACAATTAAAACGAAGGAAAAAGAATATTTGCATAACTTGAACTTAAATTCCTTCTGCCACTCACATTTTTCACACACAAATTATTAAGAAGAAAAAACCGCAAAAGCGAACGAGAATCATTACTCATTCTATTAATAATTTGAATTGCAGAATGCAATGTAAGAAAATGAAAAAAGAACAAGAAAAAGGTCAAAGCAATGGTTCAGTGAGAATCAACAGCAATCATAATAATAAATGAAGAATTCACTAAAACTCGAGTTGAAAATATTCTTTTTAATAACAAACAAATCCATCACATATTATTATTATTGCTTCGAGTAGTATGTGGATTGTTGTGTGAAAAAAATCGGTGTAAGTGCAACGTGTAGCCAACTGAAAAGGATGTGGAACAACGAAAAGCAATTAATTTAACAAAAATCACATTAAAAAATTGCAAGCAATTTTTCTTTTGTTTTGAATGACGATTTTAAATGATTTTGTCGTAAATTTTTTATGCAAAAAACTACAACTTCATGGATATTTGGATTCACTTCTTTGTCTTCGTTCACTCATTTTTCTTCCTTTGTTGAATTTTTTATGACGAAGACACTCTCGAGCAGATTAAAAATGGATTATAAACAGATTTAAAAGTTTTATTAACCTGTTGAACATCAGCATTGTGTGTGGCTATCGTATGCATTAATTAAGAATTACTACTCCATGAAAATATACAGTTTATGAATTTTTAAAATTCTCAGAGACAAATATGAATTTTTACATATAGTGTGAAAAACCTCAGTCACTTAGGGTTTACGAAGCAAATAGATTTTAAAAGCCAACATGCAATACAAAATTAGTTTTAATTAAATTTATTTAATTAAACCTGATAGTCATTGCCGGCTTCATCCTGAAGAAACATAGACATCACAAGGAAAAAAAATAAAAGATCTATGTACTATTTGCTTTTTAAAAATACTCTCAAGATCGATATCTATATATAGACGTATTGTTTTATTCAACGTGCATTTAAAACGTGTCAAATACTTCAACAAACGGATGTCGTGAATTTAAATTACAATTTTGTCATACATTTTTTTTAAAAATGTATTTTAATATTCAATTGATAATTATTAAAAGAATCATTGTGAGACATATCTATACTTTATGACTGAATTTTTATTAAAGAAGGGAAGAGATAAATTAGAAAAGGCTGGATTGGACTGTGTATAGGAAATTTTATTAAAAAATGTGGTCGGTTGATAAAATATATAAAGTGAGCTGAAGTGGCTCGGTGGCGAAATGGTTTAGTACTTCGGTACCTAATTAGGCTACAGACAGAAATGTCATCAAAGGAGTGGTTCGGATCCCACTATAAATTGTAGGTCTAGGTTTGAGTGCAGTGATTTGGCGCATCCTCACTCGTTAAACTCACATTAGCTGCGAATCGCCCTAGCGCACCTCTGGATCACAATTGATCTGAATAGGTAAAGGTTTTTTTTTTTTGATAAAATATATGCATTATTTCTGATTAATCAACACTTAATATTTTATATAAGCGCCATATTTAATGTTTTTTAACTGATAATGATAGCTTCTTAAAATACATTATTTTTTAAGTTAAAGAAAGTTTGTGTATTTGATTGAAAAGCTCTTTTTGGTCTAAGGATTCGTTCACGTATGACGTTTCGAAGAGGGGGGGGGGGGGGGGGGGTGGCTTCAAGAAAAGAACAATAAAAATTCCAAAAACTTCATTGTTCTTTTTGAAAAATGACCGTTAATTTTGGACCTCATAATTGTAAACCAAAGTAAAAAACTTCTTTGTACAAAAATGATTACTAAGGACTGCATAAATAATGAAAATATCGATGATAGATATGAATAAAGTAAGAGCAAAGAAAATATACAAAGCTACTGATCAACTCACTTACTATGCTTCGTTTATAAAATTTTAACTTAGTAAAGAAATAAAAAAAAAATCAGCAAATAATTAATTTGCTAAGATAACACTAAACATTGTAAGGCAATTTGGTGAGATGAAGGGAATTAGCAAAGTACAATAATATACAGTGCTATAATATAATCAAGAGAGCTATTTATAATATAGTATGTTTTATAGAGATGTATATGACATCTTTTAGTATTAAGATTAAACGGCTTATCTGAATCTGATTTATTTAAGTAACGCTCGCGAGAAGGTAACAAAACATTCTTTTAATGAACTATCAAATGATTTTTTATTGCATTCAATAATAAAAAGAAGAGAAGAAGTGAAAATATTCCATAAGAATCCCATTTAACTTGGGAAGTAATCTTTATGAAATATACGCGTTTTCATCTTTGTCGGCTTCGGCTTTTTTATGATGATATTTCTCTTTCACTCCCTATCTATCGCTATCTCTCCATTTGCCTTTTTTCATTCTCATTCTCAATGATATTAACAATAACCAGCAATAACCTAATGTGTAGTATGAGTCAGTATGATTTTTAACACTTTTTAAGCGATGAAAATATTTATAAATATGAGAATTATCAAGATATCTAATAAAACTTTATGATGTATGCGGAAAGAAACGCTTAAATGTGCTTTATTATTGATATATCGATAAAACAGTTTATGATCGAGACATCTTCCTTTTGTATGTGAAGCTATGTGTTGTAAGAAAAAATAATAATAAAAATGAATCCATTTAATTAACATTTACTTGAAAATAGTTTTTCCATCTAAATTTGAGATTTTTAAATGTTAACAAAGACTGACTCTCGTTTCTATGCTATGAATAGGACAGAGATAAGATTAGATTCGAATATTTTAAATGGAAATCCTGAACCAGTAAATTTTTAAGGCAATTTAATTTCACAATTTCTTCTCTTTTTATCTTGTCACTTATATGCACAAAACATGTATGCGTATCTAATATAATAATATAATAAAGTATTATTTATAAGAGTGAGAAAAAGAAAATATTGAATTTTAAATGCCGACAGATTTATGTAAACACAAAAGACTACCAAAAGCAAATAAAAAATTCCATTTGGTACCAACCGTTAACAACAACAGGTTAAATTATAATAAAGAAGCAAGTATATGTGAGTGAAAGAGAATTGATGGCACACCTTGGTTCCATAGTCAACTAGAAGTTAAATGTTGACTTTTTCTATTCATACATATTTGAATAATTATTGAATAAATAAAATCTCAACGTTTGCCTATTGAACTTCTTCTTTACCACATCATTTTTCTAAGTATTATAAAGAAAAGAGATGGCAATATATAGTTTATTGGGAAATATTGGGTGCTCGAAAATATGCGAAGTTGACTTGTATTATTATACAAGAACAAATACGGTTGAGCGCTGTTAGGTCATGTGCCTATTAGTAAATTACAAATTAGCAGCAGCAGCGAGAGACGAAGAAGGAGAAAAAATATAAGGAGAATATTTCATTCCGTAAAGAGGAAACAATTTCCAGCTAAGCTCGTGAAATATATCAAGATATGAATTTTAATTAAAATATATTTATTTTTTAAGTTATTTGGCAAAGAATTATATTTAAATGTAAATTTATTACTCAAAGCACAAGCATTAAGCTCAAAACTATTTACTTCTTAATCTGTCTGGGGTGATTTTAACATAATTTTTCACACGTTGAAATTAAATCGTTTGTAATTTACTTAACATTTTATTTTTGCATAAATTTATCATAAATGAAAAGAAGAAAACAAAACTTTTATTACCTGTTAATGCATTAAGGCCATTACATGCATCTCTTTCATTTTGCTCGCCGTAAGACTCAAATTTATCACTTCATAGTACGAACAGAGATGTAGAAAAATTAATTAATATGTATGTGCAAATTTTTTTATTCACAATTTTAAATTAACTCAATTCAATTATAATGATTCCGTTTAACTCTTCAAAATTTTTGATCACATAGCTAAATGCGCTTAATATACAGTTTATGTCTTTAATATCTTTTTGACTTTACTGCTTCTCAACTGCCTTCAAGCGTGAATAATTCAATTTTATTGATTTGATATTTCGTTATATTTATTTAGCATTATTACGTTCTTTCTCCCTTTGGTTCCATTTCTCATAAAAATATCTCTTTCTTATTCCAGAAATTATTATATTGATCCTTATGTAAAAAAAAAACTCCGTAAATGTAATTCGATTAATTATTCAATAACTCACATGTCTTGCAGGTATTCAAAACCAGTTCAATTTGTAGTTGCGAATGAATGTACATGCATCTTTTTATATATGAATGGCAATTTATGTAATATTGCAAACAATATTATGCATAATAAAGAACAACAAAAGGAGCCGAAATATATCTTATAAGTATCATGCATACATTTTAACAATGCGACTATTATGTATTATGCTTTGTTGAAAGAAACTAGAGAAATAAAGAATTTTCAACGCCTATGATTCTCAATCAATGCTTCCAATATATGTTGTATGTACTTTTCATTATAAAGTAAGAAGAAATAATAATATTATATTGAAGTGAGGTGAGGCACTTGCTTCAATGAATAAATCACGAGCGCGTCGAGATTTGTTGTGTTCTCTTCTCGTTTCGTTCCTTTTTTTCATCATCTTCATAATATTTCTTTTTTCATTTTCATTTTTAATTTACAAAATAAGCAAATTGAAGTTTAAAAATCATAACGATCGACAATAGTTAGTATAAGGCAGTGCAAATGTGTTCCAGAAACCGCGAGACCGTGAGAATTGGATCACGATATTACCTCTAGTGATCTAAAGATCTTGATTTTTTTTTTTGTTTCTTTTTTTCTGATTTATTGGCAATTGATTATTATTACTTCTCATTCTTGGACCTTACTGATCATCTTCTCGACTCTTCCATTGTTTTATTCCTTTTTCGATATCTGTTGTTATTTACTTAGTTTACTTTTAAGATTAAATGATAATTGATAGGTTAATTAATAACATGCTTGTTTTTTTTACAAAAATGATTTTTTTAATTTTGAAGGAGGATTACTCATAAAATTGAAACTTTTTAGGGTGTTTGAACTTTCATTCTTTACGTTTTGAAGAAAAATGAATAAATAATAAATAATTCATTAATCGATGTCACATCAAACATAATTAATGTCGCTCACGTGTTTAAAATCAAACGTTTAATTCAATTAACTTATGACACTGTATATTCATAAATTCAAAAAAATAAATTGGTGGTTAACATAGAGAAAAAAAATGTGAAAGGATGAATCATCCACGAGTTCATATGTGTATGTTTAAAAGTCATCAACATAGTGATGATATTGAGTATAATATACTAGATGTAGCTATTTTACAGTTGATGTGGTAGATGTCTGAGTGAATAATGAATTCAATTCAACTTGCAAAAAAAACACAGTGTAATGATTGAATGTTACAATGCAAAGTAATAAATGATGAGCTTAAAGCGAGTTATTCAAGGTTATGATTTCGTGACTTGAAAAAGTTCCAAAAAGCAGTATGTGATTTGAATTCGATGTGTGAAACGAAGACCCATCGAAAGGAAAATGGCAAAAAGGCCTTACAATTGCACGAACATCGCTCAGCTTATTAAAATGCGCGACAAGTGTACGAATCGGTCAATAAACAAAAACACATTGTTGAATATTTTCGTCGGTGGAAATATAAATCAAAAAATGGATTGAAGAGAGTTAAACAATAGAAAATTGATGTATAAGTGTTTGATAATATGAATCGAGAATAAAACATATCATTAATTGAATCAATTTTGCTAAAATAAATAAAAATTATAAGTGCACAAAAATTTTTCTCTTGTACACAATTTTTTAATCAAAAGTCAAGACTTAGAAATCACTAACCATAAAACAGTTTAAACATTCATCAAATCGTTTCAATTTATTCACTCACTTATTCCACTAACTATAACTCGATATGCATAACTTATCATGTACGTGCCAAAGTCACTGTTTCTGATTATGGAATTCTTTCTTAAATGTTCTTCAATATGTATAAATAAGAAATATCGATCTAAATGTCTTTAAAAAAATATTAGCATACATATTGTTGGAATTGAATGATGAATTAGAAGGAATGTGTTGTTATTAGAATTCTTATGCAAATTAAATGCAATCAATAATATTGAATGGAAATGTTAAGCAAATAAAAATATTTAAATGGAGTATCTTAATATTGAGAAGATGCAATATACAAGTCAGCAAAATTAATGAGAATTTTTTCCTACCACAGTGTGGTTGCTATAAAGCTTATTTTTTAACATTTAAGATTAATTTCAAATACTTAAATTGATTGAACTTTCTTTTCAATTTCTAATAAATATTTGGAATTTGCATTATAAACTGGACACACTATTGACGAATAAGTGAGCATTCTGAGAGTTATACATGTGTATAGTCTTTCTTATTTAAAGATAATCTCTTTACTCAAGAAATGTATGTGATATAAATGAATAAATGCGAGAAGTATAATATCAGTCGGAGCATTAAAAATGCAAATATGGGTTCGATTTAATGTTATTCAAACACTTCAAACTATTGGAAGCTGTTGAAAGCTTACATCCATCATACAAGTATTTATTAAGTCTGCATAGAAAAACTGTGCTGGTTAATTAAATGCTTTCAACTTATTAGCTCTTGAATGTCTATCGAAGTGGAAACGTCGATCGGTCGGGTAAAAAATAAGCACTTGATTCAATTTAATAAGTCTTATACAAATGAATGATTTTCAATGTCATGAATGTGCAGCATGAGGAAACAATAACTCAATTACTCAACTCATACCAAGTAAGTCAAAGTTTTGTTGTTGTTTGTTGATGCTGCTTCATTTTTCAATCAATCCAACATCAAACATCTTCGACTGGTAAATTCTTCTTCATCTCACTTTTGGAGATGTTTTTAATTTCAATTGAGATTCAATGTTTATTGCAAATTGTGTTATGATTTGCTTTATTACAGCTTCCAGTATTGCGCTCTCATTTCATTTCATGCTTTATATGCACAAGAATCCATATCAATTAACATCAATTTTGCTATTTAATCATGATGCTACTTAATTTTAAAATAATTTTAAAGTTTTTTGTGTAATTTCTCGCAGAAAATTGAGAAAGATTAGGAAATAATTGACAACCTTTACAAATTCTTAAGCATGATTGATCATCAGAAGATTATGAATTTTTGACATCATAAATCATTTGTGAAATTTGTTTCATTGATTGTTCAAAACAATTTACTTCCTAGGCTTTATTTTTTATAATTTCTTTTAACATGCATGTTCGATCTATTCGCAAAAGATGCAATACTATAAAATGCTATATTTATTAGTTAATCATGACTCAACAATATGAAGTCACTTTCTTAAAATTTTCTCTCTAAGAATAAGTCCGATGTCAATATTAAAATGACAAATTTGTGAACTGACACTACTTCCAAATTAAATACTTGTATAGAGAAAGCCATCTCAATCAATTGATCATTCAACGACAATGTATGAATGAAATGTTTGAAAATGTTTCTCCCTTTTGAATCATTTTCTTTTTTTTTTTTGAAAAAACGCGATGACATAGTAAACGTCACACAAAAGCACTTCACAGGAGGGAAAGTATACGATATAAGCGATGAAAGAATGAATATTATAAAATTTATATTTTTAAAAATTGATCATGAATTGTTTATTAACAGTGAGAATTTTTTTTCTTTTTACAGAATGAATCAACAGTGTAAAGTCTGTGGGGAACCTGCAGCAGGATTTCATTTTGGTGCTTTCACATGCGAGGGCTGTAAAGTAAGAAAATGATTTTTATAATATTCAAATTGATTGCACATATTAAATAAGGTTTAACAAGGTGTGTCAATATATTCAATTTGCGGCATGATTCACCTAAAAATAATGAAATTTCATCTCCATTTAATGACAATTCTGGAGCTGCAGAGATTCAAGCATAAGATACATTTATGAGCATATTAAATTGCATAATATTTGAATTGAATCAAATTATTTATAATATGAGAATTCCTTCCTGGCAGACAAGAAGAATTTTGCCAACTTTGTAGGTGCAGCTTTTAACACTCGCCCACGAAACGAGATCAAGTTTCATTATGAAGAGGAAAATAATTTTATAAAGTAATTGGATGTAGAAAATTTAAAACTTGACGAATTTACATAAAACTGCATAAATATAAAAAAAACATCTGCCAGTGGATATAAAATAATAACGTTTTCTTGGATCCTTATGTATTCAATCATATCGAATTGATGACAAATTTTGATTGATCATCATGCCTTATAATTTTTCATGTCAAACAATCTTATTTGTCTTGTCATTGCACTGCATCTTCATTTCCAATTCATCATTGCAAATTAAATATTGATCAATTTTCCGTTTTGAACAATGAAGTAAAAAATCTGCAAAGTCATTGAACAACAAATACCTATGTTTAGAATTGCAGAATTAAAAAAAAAAAAAAGAAGAACACAAAAATTGGCAATTTGTAACGGAAATGCGTTCAACTATAGTTTACATTATACTTTATTGCTTCACTTATTTTCAGAGACGTTCTTTTTTACATTAACAATGCTCATTAAATATTGTGTAATGGATTTCTTTGATTTCATTCCATTGTTGAATTTGAAATGGAAATTGCTTAATCTTGATTAAAATTCAGAATGCTTCGCATATATATTTTAGAAATAAAAAATTTAAATTAATTAAATAAATTACTAATTAAATCAAATCTCGTTTTTATTACAGTCGTTCTTTGGTCGATCCTATAATAATCTATCATCAATATCGGAATGTAAAAATAATGGTGAATGCATAATTAATAAGAAAAATAGGACAGCATGTAAAGCATGCAGACTCAGGAAATGCTTATTAGTTGGCATGTCCAAGAGTGGATCGCGTTATGGTCGTCGATCAAATTGGTTTAAAATTCACTGCCTATTACAAGAACAACAGCAACAAGCAGCTAATGCAGCACAAAACGGTTGCCCAAAACCACCAGCGCTCTCACCAAATTCATTAAATCTTATGAGACATCCATCGTACTCAACGAGCATATTTTCAAGACCGCCATGTACGAAAGAGGAAATGATGATGATAAGATTAGACGAATATGCAAAACAACATCAACAGCAACATCCAGCATCGTCACCGTCGATTAGTTCGCCCGATAGTCACAACTCAGATAGTTCAATTGAAATTGGTGATAAACGAAACTCTTTATTGAGTAAGCAAAGTAATAACAATAAGCAGCATATACCAAATACACAATCTCAACTTCACCATCAGCCGCAACAACAGCCATCTCCATTGGCATTAAATAAAGACTTGTTTTTACCATTACCGTTTGCAGGATTTCCATTAATGCCTCCACCAGGGTTCTTGCCTCCGCCAACGCACTTCTTATTTTCAAGCTATCACAATGCACTGTATGAACAAAATCATCATTTACTTCAGCAACAAGTTCAACAAGGTCTTTTGAAAACTGCAACTGACTTGCCTACAAATACAATGATTTCACAGAAATCACCATCAACTGAAAGAGATCTAGAAAATAATAGTAATGGAAGTAGTGAAACATTGCAAATACGTGAAAATAACAATAATCATAAAAATAGTAATAATAAGAAACGTCATTACACAGAGACATTATTGGATATGCAGAGGAAGCATATTTCATCATTGTCATCATCCAACTCACTATTGACGACAATAACCACAAAAATACCAAAGAGATCAAATTCACCACCATCGGCTCTTCATCTGATGAATAGTCATCATCTTAGTAATAGAATATGTAAGAGCGAAGAAGAAGACGAGGAGGATATTGATATGAATAATGAAAGTGATGAAGTTTTAACGCCACCGAGATCACCAAATACTCCAATGTTGACTATTGAAAATAATCCGATAGATTTGAGTATGAAGAGCGGAAGTAGTACCAAATCTGATGATATAAATCACAACTATTACAAAACCAAAACAAATAATAATAATATATCTCCATCAGATAATTTTACCATGAATAGCAACTCTGACAGTGACTCAAATGATCATCACAATGCGAACAGCAATAATAATAATAGTAATAGAAAGACAATTTACGGTCACGCTTTGAAGGATGAAGTTAAACATACAAAACAAATGAATGGTCGTTGTGAAGAGTCCGGTGAAGAAGATGATGATAACTTTAGACACAACAATAATAATCAATATGATGTCGAATTAAAGCGTAGAAAATTGCACTTGGCCGCACCGTTAGATTTAACTACAAAAGTTTAAAGATTTTTATTTTCTTCTGTTTAACTTTTCAAACGAAAATTGATGAAACTTAAATTCCAACATAATTATTGAAAATGAAAAATGAACAATTAAAAAGTTTCTGTAATTTTGACGCGATAAAAAAAATATACTTAAAAATTTCTAGGACACCAAACGTCAGTCCTAAAATTATATGTTTCATCTTAAGATTCAGGATATTTATTGTAATTTCATTTTTAATATAAATATTTTTACAGTAATTTACCAAAATATTTGAATGAGAAATTTAATCTTAATTAGAAAATAATGAACTAGAGAGAGCACAAAAATGACACATGACTTAAGGATTGAAACAATCATATTTAAAATAAAAGTATTGGATTGTTTTTGTTATTATTTTTATTATTATAATATCAGATGTCGGCAATTTTAAGCAGTACAAATCATAGCGAATCGATATTTTAGAAAACTTTAATAATTTATATCTTATGACTTACAGATTGAAAATCGATTTTGAAAAAGTTTTTAGACTGCGAAATTTTTCAGTTCCAACAAATTTTATTGATTTAATTATTTAATTTAATAAAAAATTTATTTTCAATAAAAAAATGTATAAAGCATGAAGTTAAATTTAATTTTTAATTTATAAGTAGTTCATCTAGTGCCAGTATTTTTATGGTTTTTCTTATGTTTTTTGTGCAAGTGAAATGTCAAAACGAGCATGAAAACAAATCGATCAAGTTCAATAAAAAAATGAATGTTTATAAAAAAAAAACAATTTTGTGTTTCTTCATTTACTTTCAGGTTGATTATATTGAAAACGGTTGAGAACAATCCATCATTACATTTGCTTCCATCTTTCATCACAATCATACCTTTATTTCAATCTTTATGTGCAATATAAGCAGAAAAAATATGCAAATTTTCATCTTTCAAGTTCACTTTTACAGCACAGCAGAAATGACGGAATAGTTTGTTGAGTGAGTGACTGACTGTAATTCACATTCAAAATACTACTGATGTTCTTTGATTGAATAATAAATCAGAAGTTGATGCAATATTTTTTGAGATTTCAATTTCAAATCTAGATCAATAAAATTTCATAATAAACAGCGGTAACAATAAATAAGAAGGGAATTAAAGATGTCGAAGAATTATTTTTTCGTGTGGAAGGAAATAAAATTTATTATGTTTTGCAGTTAAAATTGAATCTTTGTGCAACGGCATGATTCATAGCAATATATTTGTGACCCACGTATATTTTTTAAAAAGGAGTTCTAGTGTATTTTAATCTCAATATTCTTAATATTAGTGTTAATACTACTGAACGTAATTTCCCTTTATTTATTAACTTCAAGATAAAATTTTGATTCAAATTGCAATAATTGTCCCATAAAATGTGAAATGACTATTAATTTTCATTGTGACAGATTTTAAGGAATGTTGAGTTTACTCATTCTATTATAAAATAATCTTGAGATGATTTTAATTTTTAAACATAGTATTTGTTTCAAAATCTGAAGTGTATATTTAACAATATGTCATTCATTTTTTGTATCCACACGATAATTAATAAAAAAGTTGAGTTTTGACATTTTTCCTCTTTCATTAATTCAGCCAGTCGTGAAATCTAAATAATAAATTGTAGATGCTCAACAGTGCTATTAGTAAATTTTCAAGGTATCCTATGAAATATTGTATGTTTGAATTGCTGTTATATGTATATCTCAATAAATTATAAAGTGCTAAGGTCATATCAACGATTGGTGTTTTAATTATTTTAAGACAAGTACACACTTAACTTTTAAAAATCCAGTATCTTGATGCTTTTAAATTTTTATTTGAAGAGTCAAACAAGTTGTTGATTTCGTCGTAATACAAACAAGAAAATTAAAACAACGCAATGAAATAAACCTCACTTAAGTTTACTTGTATTGAATGCGTTTGCATAAATAAAGTTTTTAATATTGTCGAATATCACATTGTTAAATTGGGTGTCTTCAATTTATAATTTAACAATTGAAATTTTTATGAAATTGGTTTTATTATTATCATCGCAAATTTTGTGGATATGCTCATATTTAAAAAAAAGTACAAAAGCGAATAATTTATGAATGATGAGTTAAGAGATCATGAGAGCTGTTGCAAAGATAAATGAAAAACATCATCTAGGCAATAAAAAGAATGAAGAGTAAATGATGCATTTTCTTCCCTTACTATATCTTGTTGCGAAAAATAATGACTTACTTTAAATGAAGTGCAGCAAATATTTCATTTAAATCGTTCGACTCGTTTGTATCATTCATCACTGCCCATTATATTAATCATCATCATTCAGTTTCATTGTCGGATAGAAAAGTGAATAGATGGATAAACTCTAAGAAAGACATCAACTCGTGAAATGACAAGAAAGAAATCTTAAACATTAAAAAATAAATATCCATTGTTTTTTGGTTTTTAAAATGAAATTTAGTATAACTTTTAAATAATGTGCCATTGCTGAATATTTTGAAAATTAACACCAAAAAAATAAATAAATTATATTTTAAGGAGAAATAAAAATTTCAACTTTCATATTTTGCGGTGATTAATACAATTTTAATATTTTTGCAAAAGATAACGTGGTGTGAATTTAATGTCAATTGAAAACACTTTAAGTTGTTTAATGTATTCATAAATTTTCATTACAAATTGATGATCTTTTTAGCCAGTTTTTACAGCTGTCATGAAATTTTACAATTTCCCTCACTAATGATACAATTTACATAAATTCTTTACGTATCAATAAGATACTTAAAATGTTTGCATGAATGGAAATGGCAAAAATCTCGTTTCAACTTGATACTGTTTAAGATCCATAAAATTAAGAATTACTTTTATTTTTATTATAGAGTGATAGTAAATTCTTGCAAAATTCCCAAAAATTACGCTTGATTAACGCTTAATTAAAGTCATATTCTGAAGCCACTGTAATAATATAGGAAGTGTATGTAGGTCCTAATCGCTTGGGTAACTTAAGGACTAAAATGCTAATAATTCACGGAATTCGTTAAAATAATTTTTCTACGCAAAATGAATACCCAGAAGTATAAAACGGCCATTCAATACCATCAAAATTTAAATTTTTATGAGACTAGTGAAAAGATGTCATTTTAAAAGAATTTGAATTTGAGATTACTTTAAACATTTTGATAAGTTTTAAAAGCCAAAAAAATTGATGAGAAATTTGAGATTTTCAAGAAAACTATAGCGTCACTCACGCGTAATTTTTGTTCCTCACGTCACAAATAAATCACCTATTTTCACTTTTAAAGTCTTTGCATAAATAATTCGAGATCAATTAAAGTAAGTTTACAAATGAAACATTAATATTATTAATACAAATAACAAGTACAATTGATGCATTGACAGTAAAACAACTCGTAAATTGGATTTATGTAAACGGACTTATTAATAAAATTAAATAAAAATAAAACGGGAGATAATTATAGGAAAACAAGTCGAAGCTTTCACGTTTTTGCAATTAACATTGCTATCAATTTATATCTCGATCATTTAGATTTTTAAAATTAACATTTTTAACAACAAAAATAAAGTTGAAATGAAAATGTATCAGATTTATTACCAATTTAAATCATCATAAACTTACAAAGTCTCTATGTACTCGCTTATATAGCTAAGCACAAGTGAAAAGTGCATTTTATTCATTTAATTGCTGCTGTACTTTGCTTGACCATTGCTAATTTTTTTTTATACTTTTAACATAGGCATTAATTTACAATTCGTTTAATTATAACAACTCTGTAATTAATAAATATGTGTAGTTGTACAATACTCGTTCGGAAGATGATGAGATGTAAACGAAAGATGGAGTAGATAAATAGAGACTCTCCTGACGTAAGTAAAAATGATGATCATTTTCATTAATTTGTAATCTATAAAACTAATTATTAAGTACACAGAATTTCCAACATTTATATTTCTTCTTTGAACATTCAAGCTTGTCGACATTCTCAATGGTGCGATGAAAAAGAGAGAAGTAAAATGAATGTCTATGTTGTTCGTCCTGATGGTCAAACCGTTGTACTACATATCTCATGTGATTAGGTTTTACATTTAAACAACTTCATAAAGGCATAAGACTTGAGATATCATGTTCAACAACAGCGAAACTAATGAAAACTGCAATAAAATTTATTATCAAAAAATATATAAGGAATATTTTCTTTACATCCATGTCATGAACATGTTTCATCGGATTTCAACAGATTTTAAGTTACTTAAAAGAAAAACTTTCGTTTTCTGAAAATTAAGATTGATTTGACTTATGTAATGGTATTTGAAAATATATATATTTATGAAAATATTAGAAAATTTATTTCTATTTGCCATACCTTGTAAACATCAACCGATTGTTGTAAGAGTTTTTTAGTGAAATAAGAAAAAAAAAACAATTTTACCATCCTCTGATCGCATAAACCACTTCAGTTTATGCTTGGAATAGCTTTCTATATGAATAAATATATATGGAAAAAATGTTCTTGGCAAGCGTGAAATAAAATGAGGAAATATAAACTTGGAGATGATGTTTCAATTAAAATGGATCTCATTTGAGATTTTAGTCGGTATCAAGTTGAGAGAAAGATGTGTTTAAATCCAAAAAAAGACTAGTGTATCGGGTAGAAACCCAATGCGGATATATTCACACCGTACCATCAAAAGTCTTATGGATAGACCAAGATTTGCTCAGCATAAGTTTGAAGGGTGGGCGTGAAGTACGGCCGAGACCCATATCGACACAGTTCAAAAGTTATACCTAATTTATGTCATAATTATGTCAGCTACAAAAACACTTAGTTTGAAGTTTATCACCCTCGGGAACACTATGAACCAGTATAGCTGATTTTGGTCCAAATCTAGGCCATACTTCACACTTATTTGAACCACATTTTCTCGTTAATGTTAAAATATTATTAAAAATTAATAATCCTGAATTATGTCGCTATTTTGTCAAGTGTTTTAAGATAAATAATTTCTTTTTTGGTTTCCACATTGAGGTATGAACAAAATTCAGATGGGGTAGTCGAAATTTTAGATTTCGATTTTTTTTTAAGCTGTGGATTACAAAAAGTAATATTGGTATGTGATTTATGTCAGAATTATGTCAATTCATATAAAACATCTTAAAATTTTTTTGAGCAAAGAACCAAAAAGAAAATACATTTTCAATTTTGGACTAGGGGCGACCCTAGTCAAAATCAATTTTGTCACTTTTTTCTTCGAGGGTTTATACAAATAGATTGAAACTTTGCATAAATATTCTAGTGCTTAAAACAAATACAAATAAAACATCCTAAAATTTTTTTGAGCAAAGAACCAAGTAGGAAATGCATTTTCAATTTTGGACTAGGGGCGACCCTAGTCAAAATCAATTTTGTCACTTTTTTCTTCGAGGGTTTATACAAATGGATTGAAACTTTGCATAAATATTCTAGTGCTTAAAACAAATACAAATAAAACATCCTAAAATTTTTTTGAGCAAAGAACCAAGTAGGAAATACATTTTCAATTTTGGACTAGGGGCGACCCTAGTCAAAATCAATTTTGTCACTTTTTTCTTCGAAGGTTTATCCAATTACAGTGAAACTTTGAGTGAGTATAC